AGAATCCTGCAGTTTCTTCTGCTGCTTCAACTGCCCCTAGTTTTTAGAGACAGAAGTTATGGAAACTTGTCGTCCTGGCACTAGAACCCTGGGTTGGGTGGTCTGGTGTGGGGCTTATATCCCTGGTTCCTGAGGTATCTGCCTGATATTTTTCCCACCACACATGGGTGTGGGACCACCCATTCCATGTCTCCACCCCTCCTATGTTTTGGATGAATATGACTTCTTTAATTCCTTGCTTGCTGGGCTTCTATACAGCTTGATTTTCTGACAATTCTGGGTGAATTGTTTTGTAATTTAGTTGTAATTTTTGCTATGGTTGGGTGAGGAGGCAAGCCCTGTTTACCTATATCTCCATCTTGACTGGAAATCGAGAGGTTTCTTTAAATGACTGGACATTTTGCTGAAGGGTTTGTGGGCATGTTTGGTAATGTCTTCAACATTCAAGTAGACATTACTACCTGATAACTACCTTAAATCTTCACTTTCTGCTTGCACAGAGGCTTATGCTCAGCCAGAGGTGAAAATTTACGGTCTTTTGAGTTATTTCTTGAGCATGTACACAGTCTAGGACATGCAGATGTTCTGGAATATATCAAATTTCAAGAAATATGTCAGAGCTTGTCAGAGGTTCTATGGAGATCTCATTCCCAGTTTTTTCTTGTGTAAGTTTCCCCATTAGTCATATTGTATGGCCCAGCTGTTACCCAATGTCTCAAGCAGCCATAATGTGGCTGTAATTGTTTTGACAGGCTTTTGCACCAGTGGAGTTCTGAATCAGGTCAAATACAGAGAGCCTTAAAAATAGAGTGTTCCAACAACAGACAGATCCAATATAACAATTCTCTGAGAGAGCCTGTGAAAGTTCTACCCCCATTATGGTCTCTCTAGTGGCTTTTAAGATACTGGTTTTCACTATGAATGTGGGCTATTTTTCATGGCTAATTTTGTACTACAGAGCTGTGGACAGGACTTACGCATGTTAAAGCTTATTCTTAGGGAGATTCAGCCAATTTTCCTGAATAAACACTTTCTGAATTGAATTAAAGCTTTGGTTGATTTCCAGAGTTCTAAAAAAGTTTATTCTGACAACTGTGGTAACTTTTCTCACTGCTTTTATGGTGGAGACGCTTCTGTTGAAGTCCTTTGGTTCACTTTTAATTCTAAGCCTCCATGATTCTAAAATCATAAAACTACAACCCCAAACAAAATATATACTTTTCTATCAACCAACACACAATTTCCACTGTGCCTCTTTACAATACCAGCAACCAGCTTTCTGACTTCTATCACTACAAATTAGCGTTGCCTGCTCACAATTAGCATATAACTGGAATCATATGTATTTTTGTGGTGGCTTGTTTTATTCAACATGATGTATTTTAGTGTCATCTATGTTGTTTTGAGTTTCAGTAGTCAACCTTTTATTGCCGAGAAGCATTATACTGTATAAATATATCAAAATTTACTTAGCTATTTTACTGCTGATGAACACCTGAATTATTTCTAGATCTGGATTATTATAAATAAGACTGTTATGAACATTCTTGTTAAAGTGTTTTTGTAGACATATGGTTTTGTAGGTAAAATGTGGGTGATAAGGTTAAATGTATGTTTAATTTCTTAAGAATGTCCCCAAAGTACTTGTAGTGATTGTACAATTTAATATGCCTGCCAGTGATGAATGACAGTTATAATTACTCCACACCTTCATTAATGTTTTGTTGTCATCAGTTTAAAAAAAAAATCAGTCAGCTGGGTGGGATATAATATTTTGTTATGACTTTTAAAATATCTGTATTTAGGCATAATGTACATTCAATAAATTAATCATTTTTAGTTTACCGTTAAGAGTTTTGACAATTTTATATGTTGTGTAGCAACTGCCACAATTAAGAGACAGAAAAATTACATCACTCCCATCCCGATTCCTTCAAGTCTTGTCAGATATACAAGTTATGTATAAATTATCAGCCATCCTCTTTTGTCTGCCTTATATTCAATCTATCCTGAATTATATTAAAAGAGATAGGTTGCTTGAATATGGTGATACATCTAAGCATGTGCAGGGTTAGGGTTAGGTGACAAGAGGGACTGGTATGAAAACTGCAAAAAGAGGCAACGTATATTTTTTGAATGCTTTTCCTATCATTTCCAGCAATATATATCTTCAGTTTAAGGAGTATTTCCTCCTTTGTCTTACTTTCTACTTTGTAGCTGAAAAGATCTCTATTGCTTTATAAGAAATTATTTAAAGTAGCCATCAATATTAAATATTACTGGCAACATAGGATATAGGTTTGTTTCCATATCTCAGACAGTAAAATTTCAAAGTGTTGCCTTGGCTAGTGCAGTTCAGTGGACTGAGTCCTGACCTTCAAACCAAAGGGTTGCTGGTTCGATCCCCTGTCAGGGCACGTGCCTGAGTTGCAGGCCGGGTCCCCGGTTGGGGCTGTGTAAGAAGCAACTAATTGATGCATCTCTCGCACACTGATGTTTCTCTCCTCTTTCTCCTTCCCCTCCTCTCTCCCAAAAAGTAAATAAATAAAATCTTAAAAAAAAAAAAAAATCAAAGTATTACCTAAATGTTGTAATTAAAAATTGCATACAGGGTAGGACAAAAGTAGGTTTACAAAAGTAGGTTTACAGCTGTGAGTGTGTGAAACAGTTTATTCCTGTATTATTATTTATTAATTATTGTATTATTTTCCAAATGAAGAACCATAAACCCTACTTTTGCCAGCCCCCACCCCATACAACATAGTAGTGAAGGTGATATTAGCTATACCATTTATTAACTATCATTGGGCAAATTAACCTCTAAACTTCAGTTTTCTTATTGGAAAAATGGTGATAAGAGTGATGCTCGTGTGTCTACAACAGGCAATGTAAAATATTTTTGGGAGAACACCCCTCCCCAATTCAGGCAGCACTGGATTTTCACATATAAAGTAATAAAGTACTATTGAAAATAAGCTCACAAAATTTAGAACACAAGAAGACTATTTACCACAAATCATCGTAAAATAGCATATATTAGAAACCTCCAAACTTCAGAAAATAGAGAATAGATTATTTATAGAATATAAAATATGTTTAAAAGAAAAACCTAAAAGAATATAATAAACTTCGAGGAATCAAGACCCTACAAAACCCACCAAGGCAGATCAGAAAAGGAATCAGAAATAATTTCTAGAAAGCAAATGGTACTTTGAAATTAAAAAGTTAGTTTTGGCTTAAAAAGCAGATTGGGTAAATACAAAGAAAATTTATGAACTGGAAAACAGCTCTGACTGAAATGAAGTATAGGAAGACAATTCATAAATATGAAACTGAGGTTGAAAGACACATATAACAAAACGATAACGTCCTCTCATAGGAGCTCAAGGACAGAATACACAATGTAGGAGAGGCAAAATCTGGACAATGGCTAAGAAGATTCCCAAATTGATGAGAGACAGGACTCATCTGATTCAGGTAGCAAAATGAGTCACAAAGTACATAATATGCTAAACATAGATACATTTTAGTGAAACTGTAATAAACTGAAGACTAAAAGACTGAAAAGCAATTAGCAAAAAACAAATCACCTACAAAAAAGACAGAGAATAATATAAATCTTTTTTTGTTAAATAGCAACAGAAGAAGCCAGATAGCATAAAGCAGTATCTTCAAAGTACTGGAGACAAAAGTTGTCTACCTAGTACTCTAGATTGAATTATATTTATATGTCAAAGTCAAATGAAGATATTTTCAGACAAACTCTGTGTATTTATCATAATGGAATGGTTGCTAAAGAATACTCCAAGGGCTTTCACCAAGGTACATTTGGATATTTGAGGGACATTTTTGCATTTAAAAATGACTAGGGAGTTCTATTAGCAAGAGGATGGGAGCCTGACAAGATGAATTGTCTTTTTTTTTTTTTTTTTTAAATGAAGATACCATTTTTAATCACTTTAATTGTTAAGTTTGGGACACGATGGACATCACAGTTCCCTCCCTCCCTCCCTCCCTCCCTCCCTCCCTCCCTCCCTCCTTCCTTCCTTTCCTCCCTCCTTCCCTCCTTCCTTCCTTCCCAAATAAAAGAAAGGCTTAATTTTCTACAATGAACAGGATAGTCCGATACAACAAAACAATTCTTAATGCTGTTAGTGGCCCACTGAGAAACACAGAAGATGAACAAAAAATTATAGAACATATGGATTAACTGTTAAAAACCAAAAATAAAAGTGACTCAGTTTGGGGGATATAAAAGTGAAACAGAAGTAAAATACTAGAGGCAGCACAATTAGAATTAAAGTTTCTCAAAGTCTGTGTGTCATTATGTAAAACAGTAGAAGTATTGATCAGTTTTAGTTTAAAATTGTATTGGCAATAACCACATAAACACACAAAATAAAACAAAAAGTGGAGAAAAGATGAGTTAAATCTCAAGCATAAAAAAAAAAAAAGTTAGCACAGTCACATTAATACCAGGCAATATAGCTTCCAGGGTAAAAACCATTATTATAAACAAAGAGGATCATTACATAATGATCAAAAAGTTCAACTCATCAGGAAGAAATGATTCTAAATTTAGTGCACCTAACAACACAGTTTCAAACATATAATGAAAAAAAAACGGCTACAAGGACAAAGTCCTAAACCCACCACCACATTCAGACATCTTAAAAAATCATTTTAAATAATAGATTAAGCAGACAACAGATTAAAATAAAAAGATCTAAACTAAATAAGTGACAAGGTTGAGTTAATAGACATATTATAAAAGACATTTATAAAGGTGACCTTTCATAAGTAAATCAAGTATTAAAAGAAAATCTTGTCATACAGATCATGTCCTCTGACATCACTAAAATTTCACAATTAAGCTGTAAATGGTAAGAAGATTAACTAAAATATCTCCCATAACTTTAGGATGTAAAAACCAAAACTTTTAATAATAAATAGGTCATAGTTAAAATAATAAAAATAGTATTTTGATTAACGTGTCCTACCGATATAATACGATCTCCTTTTCTGAGCTCTCCACTAAGATCAGCAGGTCCTCCAGCCAAGATAAAGGAAATAAATATTCCTTCTCCATCTTCACCTCCTACAATGTTGAAGCCAAGGCCTGTTGAGCCACGATGAAGAACAACTTTTCTAGGTTCTCTAAAAATTAAAAAAATTTGTTTACCTTAGAGATTTTCTAGAACAGAACTTGACATTCTGTCAGGAGGACATAATTCCTTATTGATAACTCTTATATTATCAAAATATAAAGGAAGCTAAATGAAATATAAAAGCATTTTCAAAACTGTGGAGTGAAGAATTCTTTCCAACCCTAGAAATTAGGCTTAGAAATTAAAAGAAAAATCCTAATTTTATATAAAAGTTAAGAACCCATATTAAAAAACAAATGGAACTAAAACAAAAGGAAGAAAACAATGTGGAAATTTTTTAAAAATGACATAAAGAGCCTAATTGGGAAATATATAGACATATGATGTTGCACACGCTTTATTATCTATTACCTCTACTTCTTAGATTTTGTTAAAAGGCAGATAGATATCCCTTTGCCTTAGAGAAAGTAGGTTCTTTTTCCAATCCCAAATGGATGAATCCATAACTAACCTAAGCCAGTCCTTGCCCCTCTGCAAAGGTGAGGCTATGGATCCTATTCTGGCTTCTGGGAAATAAAGGGAAATTTTATTGTCACTTCCCAAAGAAACTCTAGCAAGGACAAAGCACATTTTTCCCCTCCCCACCCAAAAAAACACCCCCACACACAAAAGACTGAAATGATAAAATCCCATTACTGGTTCTAACACATAACAATCATGAAGGTAAGACCAAGCAGAGACACCACGAACCTAGGGTTGCAACACAAACATCTCAATTTCCCATCTCCATTTCTTTACATGAAATAAGTAACTTTATTTAAGTGACTTCCATCTCTCTACCTACCTCTGATTTTCATCCTTTCTAAGATGTACCTCCTCCCAGCCATTTAAAATCTTTGTAATCAAAATATATCTTACTACTAATAATATCTCACATTTGCTACTGCAGTTATACACAGTTGTGTGAAAAGCAGTCACCTCCTCTGGTTAAGACCATGAACACTCCAGCAACAGATTTTTAGATAATGAAATACAGAACCTCACTTGAGATTAGAATATTTAAAAAATTTAATCTAATTTTTTCTAAAACATCACAGAAAACTATTGGTAACAAAATGTTTACTGGAAGTAACTTTTACAAAAAAATTTTAGGAATACTTGCATGTAATGTGAAATTGATCTTAAGTATTTGTCTACTCGAAACTTAGAACAGTGTATTTTAGTCATACAGAGGTACCAGTTTTGCAGTTCACCTAAAGGATTAAAAAATTATGTTTCCTGTCAAAAATAGAAAAATTAAATATATTGTTTAAAAATTATACACAAAAATATATGAAAGAAAAAAGAGGATAATAAATTCAAAATTTAGGAAAGGAGTTAACTTGGTGGGGCAATGCAGAAAAAGCAGGGAAGGGTTGGGGTACAGGATAGGTTTCACTATACTAGTGATGTTTTATTTTCTTTTTAGATGGTAGACTCATAATACAGAGTTCCCATTATGTTTTAAATATAAATATATATATGAATTATAATTCTACATTAGCAAATAATGCTTAATTAAAAAAATGTCCTGCTGAAACCCAACAGGATGTCTAGAGAAAAATAAATTCTGATTTTTGAAATAACATAAGCCCATGAAAAGATGCTCAACAGTATTAGTCATTAGGGAAGTGCATAAAAATCACAGTATGTCCCAACTATTACAATGGCTATAAAATAAAACAGAAAAAACAAGTGTTAGTGAGGATGTAGAAAAACTGGAACCCTACTATATAGATGGTGGGAACGTAAAATGGTGTTCCCACTATAGGAAACAGTTAGGTGTTTCCTCATAAATTTAAACATACAGTTACCATACAACCAGCGATTCCACCTATAGGTATATATCTAAGGGAATTGAAAGCAAGGATGCAAGCAGATACTCACGTGCCACTGTTTATCACAGCATTATTCACAATACCCAAAAGCTGAAAACAACCCAGGGGTCTATCAATGGATGAATGGATAAACAAAATGGGTATACACACAAAATGGAATTTATTCAGCAATAAAAAGGAATGAAATTTTGATACATGCTGCAACATGAAGGAATCTTGAAAACATTAAGTGAAAGAAGCCAGACACAAAAAGATATGTATTTTAAGATGCCACTTATATGAAAAATCTGGCATAGCAAACTCATAAAGACAGAAAGTAATCAACAGGAGCTGGGAGGATAGGGAAATGCTGAGTTATTCCTTAATGGTTACAGAGTTTGTCTAAAGTAATGAAAAGTTTTAGAAATATGCAGTGGTGATGGTTGCATAATGTTATGAATGTAACTAATGCACTGAACTGCAAATACGAAATGATTAAGATGGCAAATTTTATGTTGTATGTATTTTACCACAGTTCAGAAAATTAATATGATATACTAAAATATCAGAGTTGTACACTTTACATGGGTAAACTGTGTATGACCCATATCTCAATAAAGCTGTTAAAAAAATTAACCTTAGAATCACCAACAGTTTGTTGCGATTTGTTTTCTTTAAAATTGGTAATGTGAGATAACCTCTGAAAGATTGCTTAGGATCAAATTGTGGAGAATTTCTAATAGGAAGGTAAAGATTTTGATACCTCATTACCTGGGCACAGAAGTATAATTATTAAAAGGGAGTGATAAAATGCACACCACTTTAGGAAGACATATCTAGTACCCCACACCACATTAATTTCACTGAAAAGTATAGAAAACAGGTAGACCTATTGTACAATACTACCAAGTCCAATACGCTATTCTAGACAAGAGATATAAAGTGAAAAAGATGAGGAACAGCAATCAAGATTCTAATATTTTTTATATTTTTTAGTTTGAAAAATGTGCAGAAATTAAAGACTAGATAAACCATTAACTATTTATCCTCTTTACTCCTATAAGTTGGCATGATTAGAAAATAACAAAAAATGGCCATGAGAGATTAGTACGGGAGCACAGCCTTCACACTAATAGCCGTGACAATTCATGTCACCATCACAAACACTATTCTTTCTGCTAATTTTCATTCAAAACACAATTATTGAGCACCTATCAAACTAAGTTCTCAATATTGCTAACTCTTGAAGAAGACAAAGACATACATTCCTATATGACCTTAAAGAGATCACTGCATAAAGTAAAGAGTCTGACAAGAGTAATTACAATTATGAAGGGTCAAAAAGAGTAACAATAATGTAATTAATAAAAACATATACTAGGCATTAAATGTTTAATGTTAGAATTAATCTGAAATACTTGTACAAATTGTGCAAACATATCTTATTACTATATTGAATGTGAAAAAGATCTAAAATAGTTTTTCACTTATTTTTTCCTACCTAGTTAAGAATTCCTTGGGAATTAAAAAAACAGTTAATCTAAAAACTTGGGTGCAATTAGTAATGTTAGGTGAAAGTAAATTTTAGGTGTCAGGATATCAAGGATATATATCAAAAAGAGAAAATACCACTTGTTGAATTCTGAACATGAATTCTGAAAAATAAATGCCATAGTATTACATGGTATATAGTAGATAAAAATACATGAAAAGTTTGTTTTAGAAATGCGTAAGTATATTCTTAACTTTTATACCTAAGCTACTTTGTAATGATAACTTACCAGTTATTAAAAAATAGCAATACTGAAAAAGAGCAGTGACTTATTTGGAATATAAAATATTTTTTACATTACAGGCTCTTCAATGAACCATTTAATGAAAAAATTAAAGTTTAGGTATCATCTGTCAATAAGCTTTTTCTTTTTCTTTTTTTTTTTTACTGAAAATTGTGGCTATCTTACTTGGTTGATTAGAACTCCATCTAATAGTTAGCTTTATGTAAGAAGGATAAATTCAGTTCCTTACCGTGTAATTTCATCATCTCCAAGCACTGCTTTCGAAACAGGTGAGTATCTGGCTGGTGATGCTGGTGTCTGGCCCAAGTAGGAAGATGGGCTAATATGGTTATCAACAGTCTGAGAAGCAGCTTCAAAATAAAGAAAATGAAAAGCACTTTAAAAATAAAACAAGCCATTCAGGACCACATTTGTCAATTATCAGTTTAAAGATTATGTCATATTCGTATTCATTTAACTCTGTTTTAGAATTTGGTTGAGAAGATTTACTTATCAAATAAAAATAATTAGAAAAGTTCAAGTTTCCAGGTAAAAACTAGTTCAGTTATTTGGATCAGTAAAGCAAACTTACAAAAACCAAATACTTAGTAGTAGGTTTCCAGTTCAGCATATAAGCAGCATGAAAGTCATCACTCTGTCCTAACAACTAAAAAGCTGAACAAACTGAAAAAATCAACAGCTCTTTAATCCTTAACATAGGGGAGGTCAAAGGGCAAACTGCTGTCCCCTAAATTGGAAAGTCTGGCAGGCAAACATATATAATCACAACTTAACCAGAGCAGAAACCTTAGAGCAGAACTATTGCTGGGGTAGACATGCCTGACTCATAATTTACACATTTCTACAGGCTCCCAGTGGTCAGCTCAGAGAGTCAAAAACTCCAGGAGGGTCTTGTCATCCAGGAATCCCGTACTTTTGTAAACTTTACCTCCTGGGTCTCTATCGGGTTTCACAGTGGAGATGGGAAACAAATCCTCTCCTGCTTCTGGCAGGAGGAAGGGGAAAAGAACCGCTTTGGGATATATAAGAACATTCTGTTCTTTTCAACAGAGTTTGCCCCCAGGAAAAACTATTAACTGGAGCCTAACCTGCTGAGCTTTTATTGGAGTCCAATTAACCTGGAGGAAAGGAAATAACCAACTCTAGCCCACTCTAGCTATCCTTTCCCACCTAACTGAGGAGGGGAGAATACTGAGAAGCACTGTGAAGTCAATATTCCATAGGCACAAAAATCACTAAAAGACTGAGGTTTAATCATAGGGCTATATACAGAACATTTTCCCTCCCCAAAACTGTACCACCACATCACTAAAGGCCTATTTACAACAGTTCCTTTTAACTAGTACATCATGCCTAGTAATCAAGAAAAAAAATTACAAGACCTACTAAGAGGCAAAAACACAGTTTGAAGAGAAAGTATCAGACCAGACTCAGACATGGCAGCAATGTTGGAGTTAACAGATCAGGATTTAAAAGAATGATTAATATGCTCATGGCTTTAATGAAAAAACCATAAGTATGCAAGAAGAGATGAGCAATATAAGGAGAAAGAAATTCTAAGAAAAGAAAAGAAATACTAGAGGTTAAAAAACACTGTAACAGGAATAAAAAAATGCCTTTGATGGGCTTATTAGTAGTGTGGACATAGCTAAGAAAAGAACCTCTGAGCCTGAGAATATCTCAATAGCAAGCTCTAAAACTGAAAAGTAAAGAAAAAAAAACAAACAAACAAGGAACAATTAAAAATGCAATAAAACCAGAACAGAATATCCAAGAACTGTGGGACAATTATAAAAGGTGTAACATACACATAATAAAATACCAAAAAGAAAAAAAAAAAAGGAATGAATAGAAGAAGTATTTGAAACAATAATGATTGAAAATTTACCGAAATTAATGTTAGAAACCAAACCAGATCTAGGAAGCTCAGAGAACATCAAGTTGGACAAATGCCAAGAAAACTACATATAGGCAAATCCTTTTTAAACTATAAAGAGTAAAAGAAAAAAAGGGTTGGGGGCAGGAATTCCAGGAAAAAACCACAGAAAAAAACCTCCACCTTACTGATAAAGGTGCAAAGATAAGAATTACATGTGAATTCTCCTTCCTCAGAAGCAAGGGTATGGAAATATTTAGTGTTCACCAGAAAAAAAAAAAATCACACTATCCCGTAAAATAATCCTGCAAAAAAAGAAAATCAATAAAATATTCGGAAATTTGCTGTTAGCATAGCTGCCATTTCAAATGTTTAAAGATGTTTTTTTGGGAGGAAAAGTTGATAGGTCAGAAACTCAATTATATATAAAGAAAGAAAAAGCATCAAAGAAGGAGCAAGTGAAGGTAAACTGAGACTTATTTTTCTTATTCTTGATCTGACAGGTAATACTGTTCAAAATAAGAGCAATATTGTATTCAACTATGTGCATGTGCATGTGTACTTATGTATATATAAATGTCAGCCATGATACAAGTAATTGGAGGGAGGATTCAGGGTTATTATACTATTAGGTACTTACACAACCCATGAAGTTCTGTAGTGTTATTTGAAAGTGGACTTGGATTACTTGTACATTTATACTGCAAATTCTAGGGCGAACACTCAAGAAAGAATAAAAAGAATATAAGAGATATGCTAAGGAAGGAGACAAAATGGAATAATATAAAATGCTTAATTAAAACCATAAAAGGCTGAAAAGTGAATAACTAATACAGAACAAAAGAGAAGGGCAACAAATAGAAAACTAATAAATATAATAGATATTAATCTGCTATATCAATAATCACTCTGACCATCAATGGACTAAATGCTTCAATTATAAGACATTGTCAGGGTGGATCAAAAAATAAGAACTCAACTGAGATCCAAGGTGGCAGAGGAGTAAATGGAAGCTACACCAATCTCCTCCCAGGACAAACCTGGAATTCAGCTGAATTGTAGAGAAATCATCTTGAACAAGCAACTAAACATTAGCCGGAGAGAAGCCTTATAACCATGGACAGACAGAAGAAACCAACACAACGTGGCTGGTAGGGAGTGTGGAGGAGATTCGAGAGGGTTGGTTGGGCTCCCACAGGCGGCAGCTGACATGCTGGAGGGATATTTCAGCAGCTGGGGGGTTGCCCCTGAGAAGCGTGGGGTCTAAACTCCAAGCTGGGCTCCCCAACTTACAGCATCAGAGCCAAAAAGGAATCCAGATAATATCAAGCTGTGAAAAGCAGCAGGGGTTCTGTTGGTCTGGGAGAGATGGATGGAGAGGCAGAGAGCCTCTTAAAAGGCCAAAGCACAAAATTTTGTTTGCAGCCACTTACACTGGGTGCTGGCAAATGGAGGGCAGCGTGGAATAGAGACATTTGAGGGGTGTCGGGGGTTGGTGGCCCTGGGGACAGAGCTGAGGAAACAGCTGGCAGGATCCATGTGCTGAGTCATTTTCCATACTGCAGGAGACACTTCTCTCATGCAGAGCACTCCTCCCTGAATGGCATCAATCTGAGGGAAAGAAATAGCCCCGCCCATAGAAATTTCTCTGTCCTTCCCTGTGGTGTTTAAGTCCCACAGATGATCACAGATTGATTAGTTAACAGCTGATCAGTTTAACAACTGATTAGTTTAGCAGCCAAGGCAGAAAATACAAAGCAGGAGCCAAACTGGTATGACAACGAAACAGATCTCAAATGAAAGAACAAGAGAATGTTCCAGAAGAACTAGATGAAAGGGAGGTAAGCAATTTGTCAGATACAGAGTTTAGAGTAATGATTAAAGGATACTTAACAGTATGAAAAAGGACATAAAAACCATTAAAAAGGATCAGTCAGAGAAATAAAGGATGTAATATCTGAAATAAATAATATGATAAATAATAAATGAAGAAGGAATAAACAGTAGTTTAGATGAAGCAGAGGACTAAAATAGTGTTTTGGAAGACAAGTAAAAGAAACAATCAGGCAGAGCAACAAAAGGAAAAAGGAATTTAAAAAAATGAGGAGAGCTTAAGAAACATGGACAACATGAAGCAGAACAACATCACATCATGGGACATGGGACAGAAAAAGAAGAGAGTGAGCAAGGGACAGAGACCTTATCTGAAGAAATAATTACCAAAAACTTCATGAATCTGGTGAAGGAACACACAAGTTCAGGAAGCTCAGAGAGTCCCAAGAAAGTGGGACCTAAAAAGGCCTACACCAAGACACATCATAATTAAAATGACAAGACTTAAAGATAAGGAAAGAATCCTAAAAGCAGCAAGAAAAAAGCAGGCAGTTATCTACAAGAGAGCATCAATTAGAATGTCATCTGATTACTCATAAGAAATATTTCAGACCAGAAGGGAGCGGCATGAAACACTCAAGGTGATGAAAAGCACGGACCTACAACCGAGGCTACTTTACCCAGCAAGGCTATCATTTAAAATCGAAGGAGAAATAAGGAGGTTCCCAGACAAGAAAAAGCTACAGGAGTTTGTTAACACTAAATCAGTACTACAACAAATGTTAAAGGGCTTGATTTAAGTAAAAGAAGAAAAAGGGAAAGGAAAAAAAAAATGCACTACATAAGTATCTATCAATAATCATCTTTAATGTAAATGGCTTAAATGCCTTGACCAAAAGCAGAGGGTAGCTGAATGGATAAGAAAACAAGACTCATATATATCCTGCCTCAAAGAGACCCATCTCAGATCAAAAGATACACAGAGACTAAAAGTAAAGAGATGTGAAAAGATATTACATGCAAATGAAAAGGAAAAAAAAACTGGGGTAGCAGTGCATATATCCAAAAAAATAGACTTTAAAACCAAGCCTACAGTAAGAGACAAAGAAGGACAATACATAATGGTAAAGGGCACAATACAAGAAGATATAACCCTAGTAAACATTAATGCTCCCAACATAGAAGCACCTAAATATGTGAAATTAATCTTGATGGACATAAAGGGAGAGATCAACAAAAATACAGTTATAGTCTGGGATTTTAACACCCCATTGACATCAGTGGATACATCTTCCACACAGAAAATCAATAAGGAGATGGAAGCCTTAAACCACAGGCTAAATTACTTCACCCCAAAGCAGCAGAATATACATACTTTTCAAGTGCACATGGAACGTTTTCAAGGATAGACCACATGCTAGGACAAAAGCAAGTCTCAGTAAATTTAAGAAGACTGAAATCATATCAAGTATCTTCTCTGACCACAATGCTATGAATTTAGAAATCACAGTAAGAAAACTCAAAAATACACAAAGGCATGGAAGCTAAGTAACACGTTATTAAGCAATGAATGGGTCAACGAGTTCAAGGAAAAAAAAATCAAAAGATACCCTGAAACAAATGAAAATGAGGACACAACAA